CTAGTCTTCGATCACAAAAAAAGAGAACAAATAAAAGTAGAAAAAAAAAGAAGAAAGAAGCAACAAAAAAAAACTAATTTGATCTCAGAATCATGCTGCTTTGTTGCTGCGGTAAAGATGAAAGAAAGCATGTGTTAAAACGACCGCAGAATTACGTATGAAACAGTTTGGTCGAAACAGAAACACCATTGATAGTTGATGATTAATAGTAAAGCAATCAACTTCTGTGTATTTTCACTACAGTCAGCTGTTTATTAAGGTTTTCTGTAAATCTTGAGCCAACTTATGACTCTATATGTTCACATGCAGACTTCTTCGACTGTTTTTTTTACCCCCTAATTTTTTCTTTATTGTTGTAATTCTTCGTTCTTTTCCCTCATTTTTTTTCAAAATTTTATTTTGTCTGTTATCCTCTTCAATTTCTTTTTCTTAATTTACAAAGGTTAATCTCGTGACTTCAACAATAACAAAAGGTGCATAAAGTTATCTTAGATTGCCCAATGCTTTGCCTAACTTTGCTGTATTGTTTATCATTATTATTATTATTATTATTATTATTATTATTATTCATTATTATTATTATTATTATTATTATTATTATTATTATATCAATGATATTATAATAACAGTAATACCAATAACTAATACCCTATTATTATTATTATTGTTCCTATTATTATCATTATACTGTTGTTATTGTTATTGTTGTTATTATTGATATTATTATTCTTCGGTTTTGTGCGGAAAATAAATTAGAAATTCTATTTTTTTCATTGCTAACAAAACCATAACAGAAATATCATTAGAAAGCAGCTTGCCTGACTGATACAGCTAAATTACCTCTATAAATGTTTGGCAGTTGTGCATTGAACAGTTTTTGGTGTCGTTAATAAATTAGCAATTCCTGATATCATTCAGATTATTATTACTTTCTTTTTATTATCACTTAGCTTTTTTGTATCTTTTGCAGACTGAGTACTGTAACAGTGATTGATTCTCTGGTGTTATTATCGGCTTCGGAAACTGTTATGGCAGCGATAAAAGCAATTTATGCTTAAGCCCTCCCTGACGTCTTGAGCACTACTTCTATTTTTAGAAATTTTTGCGGTGCAACAGTTCTGTTTCGTAAACAAGCCATCTCACTATAATTTACTAACTGAGTAGTAAACCAATTGGAAGCCACACTAATGAAGCGTGAAAATTATTTGAAAAATGGAACGCTT